TGATGATGATGATGATGATGATGATGATGATGATGATGATGATGATGATGATGATGATGATGATGATGATGATGAATCGGGTGCACCACTGAAGCGAAAGAGATTGAGCAATGAAATGCTAACCTTTAAGGTGAGCTCCTCGACAACGTGCTCCATTGCATCCAATGTGGTCTGAAGGTGGGGTTTCAACGCTTCACAGTGCTCAACGACGGCGCGTTCGGTTTCCTGATAAACAAACCGGGGGAATGTGTTGGAATGTGTCTGCCTCGAGGAATTATCATTGTACGACTGCATACCCTACTTGTTTCTGCGGGCTTAGTAAAGGCTTTTGGCATACAAATGACGGATTTCAATGACAGGATGAATGGTAAATCAAAGTTTCGTACATTGAAACGTCGGACGAATAGCTGAAAAGGACGACTTAGATTAGTCACTCGAGAGACCAGCGTCCTTCTGTCAAGAGACGCATTCCAGAAAATAATGCAATGAAACGCATCTGGCTTGACAGAACCATGCTTTTGAGGTTGTTAAAAGCCTCTGATGGGTGGGTAATTAGACTATGCAATGCAGAACGAGTATTTTAACTAGTAACTTGGACTCAGTGGGGTCGGTTCCTGTATTTTCTAGACTGGCGGCTGTTTTAGACATGACGGGAATCAATCTTTAGGACCATAAACAACTTGAACAGTGTATTGATGTAAATAGTGAGCTTTCTTGATGCAGTAGTCATCCTCACAAATAGAGTGTTCTGCATACGGTGAAACTTCGCCGATATATTCTTGAACCGGGACATGAAGTAGGGGGATATTTCCACATTAGGCCTTGTTTTAGCTAGCCTGTGTAGGGATTTAGCATATGGATGCCTTATCCATCCAAATTTGTAAATTATGTGTTCGTTCTTTGTCGTTAGACCAGTAGTGATTGACCTCTTTATGTTTGACCATCTTCACGCGACCATACTTCTGACGGGCCCCATTAGAAAAACGACCAGTCGAGAGGAAATTATAGTTTGTTTAGACCCCTTAGTAACTTTTTTGTGGTTGCTTTTGAGAGGTACGCCAGATTGTCTTGGGAAGAAGGAATTCTCTCGCGATAGATGAACTACTCACGCTTCATACGTTGCGCTGGTTGGGTCACCAAAAGAGGATAATCTGAAGTATACTCGATAATACACACTACAGGTGTGATGGCGTATACTACCGATGAGACATTCAAGTAGTATGTAGTTTTCTCGTAACTGCGCTTCGCGTCCAATGGAAGGTAGGACTGCTTTACAGCATTCCTGTACAACTGCATGATAGTCAATGAATAACCAAGAAAGTTCGAAAGGGCGCGTTCAAGTGGAGGACGGATATCCAGTTTTTAAAAACAAGGTGCATATGAGAGGTTAACTTTCCTGTCCATTAGTTTGTGACGGTTTTATTTGTTGTTTTCTGCTAAGCAACTCCAAGGTGCAGGGCTTTCCTCATTTCACAGGCATGGGCAAGAGGTTTTCTACTCGAACTATAAAATTTCATGTAACATTGGGTTTCAGGAACCATATTTTGTGAAGAGAGAAATAAAGTTTTTACATATTACTCTGCAGTCAAACAACTACACCATTTGTATTCACATTTTCCACGTTTTCACACTTTTGGAACCACAGAGTCGTGTTGTATGGCTTCACCTATATCCCTCAAACTATCATCCTTCCAACCGGAACAAAGGTTACAGCCTTAATGCAAGCGTAAGCCCGACAGGGTCATTCGAACAGCTAGGTTGAACGATAGTCTTGAACAGATCAGAACTGGCTTTTACTGATTGATCTTATGAAAAATTGTATTTCTGCGCAAAACCTGTATAAAACAGCCTCTCTAGTAAGTTACCTCCCGAATCCTATTGAGTGTTATGTGCCACTGTTCAACACACGTGTTGTGCTTGGTTAGGCGCTTGTTCCAGACCCGTTCCAACACATTTCCCTCTCGTGAGTGAAGACCCGTCTGCGACAGTTGCGAGGAAGCTGCAAATGTTTGGAGTGAACTGGATCTCCGAACGATTTCCGGTGGCGACGAAATAGGATCCAGGAAGCCATTGAAGTTTTCTGTTTCCCCTTCTTCTCTATTCTGTAAAACGGGAAAAATTGCCACGACTTTAGAGCTATAGGCATGATTAAATTAAGAACAACTTACATGCAAGTATCATTTTTTCCCTAGCTAAACTTTCTTTCTTCTCGCAGAAGTATGCGGCTTTTTATGCGTTATAACTTAAAAGTTTCTGCGCCTCTCTGTTTTTGTTCTAAACAGTACGATTTGTCGTTCCTTGCGTGGTGTTCCCAATTTCTCAACCCTTTTGTTCAAGAATCGAGTCGACCGTATAAGAATAGTATGTGAATGGTCCCCGCACAGGTACTCGGTTTGAAAACGATCCATCTCGGCCGGTAGGTCTACATTCAAATCTCTGGGAGGAAGGATAAACTTTGGAAGCACCAGACATTTCTGGGAGTGTAGCAACCTGCACCTGACGTTGCCATGCGTTGGGCTACATTCACGATAGAGTTAGAAACCTTCTCCTGCCGAGAGGTAGAGTATACTTATTACCAACCCTACGTCAGCTTAGGTTGTTTAAAGCTCTACCTGAACAGAGACACAAACTTATCCAAAGATTTTGATGACTCGGGCATTGTTACCGCCGCACTTTTAGATTCCTTTCTTCTGATGCTAATCGATGCTAATTATATCCTTCATCTTCTTCATGATTGTGTCCTTTAGCACGCTTGACCTTGAAAAATTTCATCATCAGGGACTGCGCCCACTTGATGAGCCCCAAGAAGGGGCGAAATCGGTCGTGGGCTGTCAAAGACTTTTCAGCTACCTTATGAGTAGTACACTACGAATTCCGTCATTCTCCTTCACAGGCATTCAATTCTGATTCTACCTGTGTCCACGTGTTAATCTCTTGGAGTATTAGCTGGAAACCGCTTGAATTCAACTTTCTCAGTTAGATTGTCTGTGAGGCAACGCACCACTAGTGCCCCTGTGAATATTTCAAACAGATACACAAAAAACCCCATTGCTACCTCTTTGCAATTTAGAAGAAGAATGTTTAACTAATGCCTGCTCCGTATCACAATATATGAAGACCATTAAATTAGACGCATTCAATTAGACTCAATATTTGCACCATTAGGTGCAAATCTCAAAGAGGGTCTACTTATGGATTAACAGATCAAGAAATCTGGAACTTCTATATTTCACACCAGCAAAGGTTGCAAAGTGGAACCCAGGAGTCAAGGACAGAAGTTGCAATAGCACCAAACAGTGGACGATAGTGGGAGACCACGCTCAAAGGTCCCCTGGTCACCGACCAATCAGGACACAAGATAATCTACTAAACATTGGAAGCGCCCTACCGATCGAAGTTAGGCACTGGCTATCAAACATACGCAACGTACAACCGTTGATGCGTCTCTACCCTTCACACGCACCCTCCCCGAACAAGGCACTGGTGATACCACCTCGACTTGCGATAAAGCGTTGGCAATAAAACTGCTTGATTCAGCGAACGAACTGACAATCATTTGCGCTACGTGAGCTGCCAACAGTCTCCTCACTACCGTATGCTCTAGAGTCTATCAACTAGAGAGAACCCCCCATATTGTGAGGTTAGCGAATGCCACAGAATTCCTCATTTCACGAATCTCCTCAAAACCAAAATCCGGCAGGATGGGTGTCCGCATTAAAATGAATCGCTTGGCACAGGCTTCCTCCTGGGCACTGTGTAACCATACCGGACTCAAAAGAGCCATCAGAGTGAAAACAAACTTATATATGCACATCTCTAGTGTAAGCAAGAAAACAAATATTGGCCTATGGAAGAAATGTGCTGATGAGAAAAGTAATCCACTCATAAGAGCATTCCCTTTTTTTCTTGCATTTTAACTCACCTCTAAACGACAGATTTAATACTGATAATCAAATTTAGTTTGATCCCTTTCAAATGTGAACTGTTTCTTTTCTACTCGTAATTTATCGACACATCTTGCAGAACTCCATACACAACTCTGTCAAAATCGTCCCATTTTGGGACGTTTTGTGTGCTCGCCCTCCCACGTACAAATCCAGGGTTGTCGCGGCATTTCTCTCATTCGTTGGGGCAAGCTTTCAACTTTTCCGTTCAACTTCTTAAAAACTTTTACTAAACAAAATACCATTGGCGGTTCAGCATTGATGAAAAACGTGTCACTTCACAAACAAGGTAATTATTAGACAGGTATTAGTACAGATAATTCGCTTCTGTGGTGAAAACACCAACACAACCAAGTCATCGAGTAAAATATTTGTCAATGTTATGTCTGACTGTTTCTGCTCCAGTGCCTGATGCCAGAAAAAGAACTCATCGTAGAGGAACAAAAACAACCTTATTCCAACAAGCGTGCTAGTGTAAAAGTTACAACCACCCCGCGCTATTTAAAGGGCACTTTCTGACATTGATCCAGGATGCCTGGTAGACGTTTAGTGAACATTCATCAATATCGATCGTGATTCCATGAAATGCCTGAACGATGATCATATTCAGTCGTGCTTCTGTGGCGTGTCTGGACACTCATCGGTTTTTGCTGAATCAGTTGAATGATTGAGTGGCCTGAATACTTTCCGGCTTTCCTATTGAGATTTTGGTGGAGTTTTAGGGTCTCAGTAGGTTCTTGTGTTCTGAGGTTACTTTCAGAAAAAAGACCTTCCTGATAGTCAGATGAAAATGGCCTTTATCGTACGGAAGTCACGAAGTAGTTTGCTGCATTCGAAACGGTGTGAGATAGTTATTTTGGAATCTGTTAGAAGTGTCTGGTTTGCGCTTGGAGGTAGTTCGCTCTCCTTTGGTTCTGCAGCAGTCCGACATCAGGTACGCCAGACTACATTATCCAGACATTGAGACTTCTGTACGACACATGAACAAGTTCGTGAGTCATGATCCATTCGGTCGAGTTCCCATGATGGGGACACCCTAGCAGTTGAAAGTACTCTCGCTGGCTGAATGATCCACCGAGTGTGACCATAAGGTTAACGGCGTTCAGAAATCTCGAAAAATGAGAAAACCTTACACCGCACTCAATCAGAAGTAAACTAACGGGCAATTATGCCGATAAAGTCGTCGGACACTGAACGAGACTCAACCTGCTGGACTGGGTCCATTTTTACCAACACCTTTGTATCCAACGTGGCTGTATATCTTCCCAATCAAGGCAGCGTATATTATTCATCATACAAGTATATTTGCAAGCGAGTGAAACAAAATTGTCCTCTAGTGAGGATGAGTTCAGCGGGCATATCTGAAGATAGCCACAAGACTGGCTATGCGAGAAGCCTTGGTCTGTCGTACAGCTGTACCACCCTTTCGTGGCCTATCTGTCATGCCACCCCGGTACAAGGGACAGGCTAGCAAAGCCGCCATTACTGAACAAACCGATCCATCTAGATTTTTCTTAAGTTTGACTGACCAAGAGATAAATGGCTGTCGAATTTTTGACACTTTAATATGAAGGTTGAAAGGCCTTATTGTTTTAGAACTTTTCCATTGTGGGCCATCCTCTCAAAAAAACAGTGCCGGTCATATCAGTTTCTCTTTCAGTGTGCGTTTTTCCATACTAGAAAGCTTTCTGTGCTAACGCGGATTGTAACTAGGCAAAATAACTTCCAGGACGAATTCTGTTTGGTCACTGGCAAGCAGATGGCCTTTTGGCGGTTTTGGAAAAAAATAGTGCTGCCTGTATCGACATGTACATCACAAATTCGTGTTCCAAATTAATGTACATCGATACTTCGATCGGGACTCAACGGAGCACACTCAGACGCCTTGAATGAGGCCAGAAAACAACGCTGGCAAGAAAAGATATTTCGACGAGGAGTTGAATAAAACAAAATTCAAGCTTCTGGAAGTTGGATAAAGTTCTTTGTTTCTAGAACTTCTATCCGTGTAGCCAGATAGTTTCGCAAGAATATTGTCAGAGATAGAACGGTCAACGTTCCTTTTGCATAAGTTTAGTGAAAGAGTTCTTTTAAGTGTTCTGTTCAAAAATGCTCACCATACCAGACCAAATTTACTTGTCCAAGAAGCTACTCTTTATGTTGGCATAAACTGAGTCTTATCATCAAAACTTCCTTTTGGTACCTTTCCGTCCCCCTGCCGACTGCCATTTTATGTGAACTATCGAATCATGGCACTCTTACATTTTATACACAAACGAGGACGACAAGGTCGTTTTAAAAGAAATGAAATCAGCTAAAGGATGTTTGATTGCTTTCTCATGGACTCAGAAGTTTGGATGACTACTTTACTAAAATAAATCCCATTTCAGCAAAATGTTTTGTAGATGCGCCTCATTTACCTGAAACTGAAGCGTATTTCTTTTTGATGATGCAAACTGTATTACACGTCTGAACAAAATCTTACCTCGAAATAAGTGATCTCCATAGCCTTCCTCTCTGTAACAGATGAAAGGAATAAAACGTGAATGGTAACAAGATTACCAGGTGCCAAATTTTCTTTGTGTATCCGCCGGATGGATGGACTCCTTTGGGGTACTTTTTCAAGTGCAAGTCGCAGTTTGACCTGAAAATGTGTAAAACAAAGTGTGTTATCCACGAGAGGAATTCTCTCTTTGGTAATATAGGCTTATTAAAACCGAGGCGATACATGAGGCGCACTGATCAAGAATGGTTCAAACATTTCAACAGTCGTGTTCTTATACGTTACGGCAAAGAACAGTCTTTGTTTAAAATGCGTACATGTTTTAACTTTTAATTTCTGCGTCTGTTTTGGCGTCGCATTAAAGTAACCTAAATTACAATAAACGTAGTGCAGCGAATGGTAAATAAATCACACTTTTTCTACTCACAAAACTCCTGCATTTCAGACAGCTAAACCATAGAGTCCAGATGATAAACCGTCTTCACATCACCGGGAATTATTGTAAATTACCCTATTTAGTTGGAACCACAAACTCACCTTAGCTTCAAACAGTAGGACGTGGCTCCCAAATGGAACGGCCCTGGTTTCATAGAATAAAATTATCCCTTATCAAAAGAAGACCGACTGTTGATTAGCAGGTTATCTTGATGCAGGGAACCGCTCATGACATTCACCACATTTGAAACGCATTGCGAAAACTCAGCCTCTAAACAACTTTTAACTACTCATGAGTAGCACAAATTACGTGCACAAAATCAGGCCGCAGCCTGGTCGCTTGCATGAAAGCTGGGGTTAAAATGTCGTATTTCAACCAGGATCTAATCAGCAGGACATTAATTTAAAAAATAATCTTATTAAGTTGACAATCATTCCAAATAATCAGGTGGGTCTAAACCTTATTAGGAAAATCCAGAACCTTACCAGGGAAGACGGATTCCTTCCCACCTTTACTTCGATTGACTAGTAAATTTCATGTCCGGCGAACAAAAGACATCGGACTGACAATGTGTTAGGATTATGATTTTTTTTATTTGTTTGTTACTAACTTATGAAGTTTTACAGAATGGTCACTTCCGAAAGCACAGTATCATCTCATATTTGTGCACAGTGGTAATACATTTTCCGAAATACATGGCCGTTTCAGACACGACGGTTGTGTACATTAGAAAAAACAGCTCTAAATAACGGCTGAAGGACACCCCAAAACTTTTTCCCCATTGGTTTCTGTTTCCTGACAATCAGTTTGCACGAGATATCCGATAAAAGTTCAAATCACTAACACGGGCATCTGCCTTTATCTCAGTTTGTGTAATGAGCACATCAAAGTTCCTGGTCATTTAAGCAAAGGACCATGATTAGATTATTGACCGTGTTCAGAACATTCAGCTTCAACAACCTCTGGTGCATTCTGAAGCCAATTGTGATTTTTTTGTTGATTCATGTCACGCTAAGGTATCCGTTTTACAGCACAGTTCCTCCTGTTTTGGTAATTTTTATTGTTTTTGGTACACTTCAATCAGTCAGACTAATTTGCTACCTTAAGAAATTTTTACATTCATATTCTAGTGGTAAATCAGTACCGGAAAATTCTACAGCCTCCGATGCACAGCTACCCGATCAGTCTCCCAAAATCACTGATGAGCGAAACTTTGGCAGATAAACCCGTTATACGGCAGGTACATCCATATTACGGGTGGTGATGATGATGATGATGATGAGCTGTCCAAACATGAAACTCAAACGAAGCCAAGCATTGGACGAAATAAGCAAGAGAGAAAAATTCCCTGATGGTCGCATCGTAGAACCTGGAGGGCTAGTTTGATGGCTGTCTTCCACAATGACCAAGGGATTAAAGGATGGACCAGCCTCAAAGGTCACGTGGACGCTGAGCATTCAGAACACCAGCTAACGGACTGACTAGTAAGCAAACAACCGATCACAGCTGGAGATCGGTGTGTGCCACTCGCTGGTACATTAGTACATCCAAATAGCCTCATGTGGTGCATACACTGATGCACCGCTCCTCTCCGCTCCACAACGACGAACTGATAATTCCACATTTAGTGCTACCTGTGGAAGGAAGAAGGCCTTCTCTGCGGAGTTATTTATTAGAAAATGCCAACTGAGCAGTTACAGACTATTGGACAGGGAGGCAAAACCCTCATATGCATCTTGTTTACAAAAACCAAATATCCATCTTCTTCTTGAACGCGTCTTCCTGAACCTTCCTGGACATTCGTTGACTGTCACTCAAACGCAAGCAAATGCGACTCCACAAATTCCCTAGTAGATCTCACTTTTCAAGAGACGCGAAGCGGATTTACGAGAGAACATACTACCCCCATCCCCATCAGTAGTATCCACTGCTACACTGGTAAGTTTGCATCTTCCATCATCTTATGAGTGAAGACCACAGTGACCCAGCGTTCTGCACTGCCAACTAGGTTCGTGTTTCATTGGTACACGTTGTGAAGATGGTGGATGGAAAAGACGAATCAACCCGTGCTACTTCATATCGGTTGAAGTGAAAAACGCACCCAGATCATTACAACAATATCAGTTATCGAAATAAACAAACTGACTGTGAGCCGTGGCAGGGTGTGCGATCCTACTGACAACGAAGCAAATCGTCACACGGGCTGAAATATCAAAAATTCAAAGTGGCTGCAGCCATTGCTCTGGATGCACTAACAGAGAATGTCCTCAGTCCTGGTGAAAGGGGGAAGGCCTTCGCTGCGGATTTATCTATTAGAAAGTGCTAACTCAACTGTTACCGACTATTGGGCAGGGGGGGCATAACTCTCATATGCATCTTGTTTACAAAACTGAATTTCCATCTTCTCCTTGGACGCACCTTCCTGAACTCTTCTGGATATTCATTAATTGTTGCTTAATTTCAAGTAAATGATACAAAGCGACTCCACAAATCCCGTAACAGATGTCCCTTTTCAAGAGACGCAAAGCGGATTTGCGAGAAAACATACTACTCATCAGTAGCATCACCGTTAGACCTTGGCAACCAACATTCTTTCCAATAGCAAATAAAATAATATGACGTAATATAATGTCAAAAAGACCGTGCCAGCACAGCACCGTTTTGAACTAGAGCCCTTAACGGTCAGCCCCATTTTCCAATATGTTTGTGCAAAGAACGCGTTGCATCCCTTTTTGAGTAAATTAACAGAATTAGCACCTATGTAAAGAGTTTTCACTTAATCTTCTTTGGTTGAAGTTAAGCATCAGGTATGATCTTAACTAGGTGCTGTGCATATGCCAAAACTCCCTACAGTGCACTGGGTGCAACCTTTCATAAGATTCCGCCGAGGCCTTTTGAACTGGATTCGGCTTCGCTACAACGAAATCCAAAGAGTATCTTTTATCTTGAGTAAGCAAACAGTTAGTATGACTGGCAGTCATCTAAACTTTCTGGACAACCAGTTTTGCAGTATTTTATAGTATTTATAGTAGCGTGTATAGTAGTAGTATTCATAATAGTATTTATAGTATTTTATATGTCTTGATAAATCTCAGCTTGATCATAAAATAATCTCTTTATGAATGACTTTTCAGTACTGCTGAAGCTGCTCAGTGTTCATTAGAGAATTCCTTGGCTTCCATTTGATGATAAGCTCAGCCGACAGATTACGGGGTAACCAATACTGTAGGAGACACAAGTAAACGTATCAGACCATGTAGAAGGCTACTGCCTACGGAATCTTACACATCAGAAAATTTTTATCAAATCATGCTACCGTACTGCTTACCAAACCAGAGTCATTTGGAAAACCAGCTAGACTAGCCACCAAGAAAACTCGCGGTTCATGTGCTTAGGCAGTTTCAACCAGACAAAACGGTTTCGTAAAAGATGACCAAGCTCAAATATACTTGTTTCTGATTCTATTTTAATTAAAACGCTTATCTCGGAAAAGAAACGGAGGGAAAGTGGCTCTGATCTTCAACGAGCAACCTTAAACCGAACCCTTGTGGTGTGATTTTGGTGAAATATGGGAGAGAAAGGTGGTGTTTTGGAGAAGAAGCCCAACTGCTGTCAAATTAACTTTGGGAAGTGCAATGTCCAAAAGTGTGGCTGTTGATTCTAACAACACGGTCACCAGATGGTGCAAGATGGGAAAAGTAGAATCACAAAACCTAGGTATTTTGTTATCTGAACGGTGATCTTCCAGCCAGTAGGCCAGTAGGAATCCAAAAGATATCCTTATCATCGCGCCTAAACGCAGTCAAAGATTGAGTAGGCCCTCTAATAGGTATTTTTCCTCAGAGGCGATCATCTGCATCATTATTATTATTATCTGTAGGAACCACAGTGTGATGAATATGACTGATGCTTTATTCAATGCTCTATTCATTATTCTCTTGTTTTAATATTCCATATGCTGTACATATTCGCCAATTCGAATACATACGTGCTGGTTGCCACTCTTCGCTGAATTCTGGATTTCTAGTTTGTCGGGTTATACCGATATACGTACGAAACTTAATTCCCACATTTTGGCGTCGCGATTGGAACAATTCATCATGCCTGCCGAAATGGAACCATTAGATGTTAA